CCCAACCCAACTTGCTCGTTTAACGGATCTAATCCGCTTTACAGTACAGCTTCCCATGTCAGGTGAAAACTCCTACCAAAAACATATTATCCCGGGCACTCACATACTCAAACTTTTACTTTGATGTAACATGTAGAACCTGATAACTAACAAGTTATACCTGATCACGAAAAACAGTGAGACCCTCCTTTAGGCTGAGCGAAAACCAGTCACGACAGGTAACTTTGCAATTCAGCTCAGATTAAATTAGAGCTTCAATAATACTCGCTAGTTTGAATATAATGATGCTTGTTCAATTAGTGTTTCTGGACCTGGCCCGGCCCGGTCGATTGAATTGGTTGAACTGGACCCAAGCTTGAAAACGGGTTGAGCCAGTACCTTAACCCGTTTTGGCCCACTGGTACCTGCCCAACCCGTTGAAACCGCCTAACCCATCGGGCTGAATGAATTTGAGTTTTTACTTTTTAATGAGTTAATATTAATTAAATTAATTTATTTGATTTTTAATATAATTAGTTAATTACCCACACCATTAACTTTAATTAGAAATTAAAATCGCACATCAATTAAAAAAACAAAACTCTCAGAGGATTAGGTCTTTCCATTTGCTATTTCACTGCAAATTGCAAAAGCAAACCCAAGAGAAATTAGAAACAAAAGAGAGCAGGGGAAGAGAAGAACAACACCACCAGACCACTAGTACCACGCACCAATCACCACCGTCGGCCTTTCCTTGCCCGATCTCAGCCAGAAATCGTGAACTTGCTACTTGCTCGTGGCCTCCGTCTGCAGCTTCCAGTCCTTCGTCTCTGCAGAAGCAAAACCAGAAAGCAAGCCCTTCATCTCTATGCAGAAGCAACCAAAAAGCAGAAAGAAAATAGAGTAGCAAAGTCACGGCGGCCAACTGCCTCCCCGATCTCAGCCGTCGCAACTCCACAACTGCCTCCCCGAATCTCAACCCTTTGCCGCTACACTTCCTCTCCTTCTTCCACTGACAGAACATATTTGCATTTGCATTTGCCTCTGCTGTAAAAAAGTAAAAAAGAAAAAAAAAAAGTTTTTAGTCAATCGGTTGAATTGGTCGGGTGAACTGGTTCAACCAATTGAACTAGACCCGGTGGCCAAAACGGGTCAGCCACTGGGCCGGGTACAAAAACATTGTATTCAATGTTCTCTTTGTGCTTATTAGGACTAATCAAAAGTTAAAATCATACCAAAAATAGATCACAAATATCATGTTCATGTTACTAATTAAG